ACAGACACACACATACACACTACTCCATTATGTTAATAATTGTTTTTGCTAAATAAATGGAGTAAAGCTGTGTTGATTCCTCTACCAGCAGCAGTGTCAAAGTACAGAGATCAATCATTCAGATGTTTATGATTCCTTTTATCACTCAAACTGAGTGATAAATATATATACTTGAAAAATATTGTAATGTGATTTATGGTCCTGTCAGTTACTAAAGCCTGTTCCCATTGAAATGCCTCTGGTTGCCACCTTAGGCCTGCATTTAACATACACATGTATATTTACATGCTTTAAAGATTAGAGTTAACAAGAGCAACTCCAGCCCTGTTGGTAAATTACCTGAACATCATCTCTTAGTTTGTCACTTTGCTCTAAACTGTGTGGCTCGTGGCAGATTAAATTTGTGATATTAAATTAAATGGATCCGTCTTTGTTTAGCAAACAGCACAATTTTGTGCAAAATAAGTGCAAAGATGGAAAGAGGTCAGTGGACCCACAAGTAAAGGATGTCTAAAGGTAGAAGAGGAGAGATCTGAGGAGAGCAATGAGATGTGAGAGAGATGTAGTGGCTGATTAAGATGGTCAGACAGATGATCTGGTGATGAAACTAGTCTAGGGTTTGAATATGTGCTAACATATGTAAAAATGCCACTCTAGTGACAAAACCTCAGAAACTAGACACAACTCAAATGAGCATATGTAAGTGGTATGTACCTGCACAGGTGTGATTAATGTGCTTCAGTAACACACAGAATTACATCCCTACAGAGCTCTGTTCTAGTTTCTGCTGTCAGCCCAGCTCCTCCCACTTCCTGTCTTCTCTGTTCTGTAAGAACCCGTTAACCAGTTTCACCTCCACCAGACTTTGTGTCTGTACTTGTCTATAAACAGCTGCTGGAGCTCTGACATGTAGGCGGCTGTTCTAGCTACTATCTGTCACAGCTTTTTACATCTCTGTCATATATGAAGTCATAGATGATTTCATCAGTATGATCACCTGAACAGATGAGTTTAAGGATTTGGTAAGAATAATGTTTTCTTGTTGCACAATTCCTCAGAGGAGATCTGGACAGAACACAGTCAGGTGTGATCGACCATGCATGAGCTAAGCGTGAGAAGTCTGCCTTTTCTATAGAAACAGCTGAGCCACAGTCCAGATGTTCACAGAAAACAGCTGCTTCTTTCAGCATCCAGGAATTATCAGAGGCACACAGTGGTCTCCATCCTCCCTGATGTTTCACCTCCAGTATACCTGCACAGCGATTGGCTCCTCCCACCAACCTGACATCATCAGGCTCTAACAGAAAGCAGAGAGTCGTCAGTAAATAAGTGAATTTACTTTTTCAAATTTAAAATTTGAAATGACTGCTGCTCTGTGATTCTTCATTTCACTCTGATTTCTCTTTTTACCTTTAGATCTCTGTTTTCCTTCAGCCTGAACTCCTGAGGAGAAAACAGTAACACCATTCAGTGTGAAGAAGGAATTTGATTGGAGCTCACATGAGGACAGAACAACCTCCCTGAAATTTACACCAGCTCAAAAATACCACAGTAAGCCAATATTAGACTCATTGATTTGTTTTCAGTGATCCTAAAACGAAATAATGTCAAATTTTAAAAGTCCAGAGAGTGCTTCACACATGCTGAATGGAGCAGGAAGCAGGTTTGTTGATACATTTTAGAAAAATGTCAGCAACAGATTTACTTTTAAATTCATTCAGTTATATATAATCTTGGAACTAAGAAAAAAAAAGTTCTGAAAATAATTGTGAAAATCAAATTCAGAATTTGAAATAGCAACTTAGAATCCATGACTCACTTTAAAGGTGATTTAATCCTGAGGAACAACCACTACATGAACTGTCATGCAGACAGTCTCAGCAGGCAAGGCCAAAGATGTCACGGTCTGCGGAGACAGGCCGTGTGGTGGTATGTGTGATGGACCCAGGTGCGTACACAAGTGAGTAGACGGGAGTGAACTTAACAGAAAGCGAGCCTTTATTATGGCTGAAGACAAAGTGTACAAA